TTTTAGCTTCTAGCTGTTTTACTCATTTTAGTTATTGTTTTGCTAAGCTTCCCCACTTTTTACACATTTGATCTCTTAGCTACTGTTTAGCTAGTTTGAACGTTTTGCTACTATTCTGCTTGTTTTGGCTTGGGTTTAGATTTTTTTTTAGCTTTAACTGAGTTTCTGCTCCTTCAACACATTCAGAATTACAGAATGAAAAAAATAAAATAATTTTTATCTAGTATTAAGTTTAATTTTAGATCGTTCGGAGCATTTTACAACCAACAAAATGGACAAAATAAATGAAAATAACAGAGCCGGACGGCGTCAGGGAGCCCTGAGAGCTTTATCTGGAATCTTCAAAATAATACGTGAAATTTCATCAAATTTAAAAAGAATACATAAAAACCATGAAAGATCAAAGCATTGATGTGGAAATGCAGACGATGAATATTAAAAAAACACCACCAAGCATCAAACAACAAAAGAGAACGCGCGTGTGTGTGTGTGTGTGTGTGTGTGTGCGTGCGTACCTCTCTGCTGGTGTGTTCGGTACGACCCGCTGCACCAGAACTCCACTGCTCACATCAGGAAAGTCTGGCTGCTGAAGTTTCAGCTCTGCTGTGAGACTTGCACAGAAAAAAACCTCATGAATGGAAAAACTGACGGCAGCAACCGGTTCCACATGTCGTCTGCGTGCAGATTCAAAACACCAAAGCCCATGCTCAATAATCCAGGTGTGTGCAGATGTTTCAACTCACGCTCTGGTGACCGTCATCATCCTGATGCCTATGTAATATCTGTTGTCTTGTGATAACTCTGGAAACAAAATGATAAAATAAGAGTAGAAGACGCGTTTCAAGCGAGGCTTTAACGCATCGGCAGCTCTCACCTGCATCCGACTGTGGATCCTCCACACGTCGTCTCTGCAGTCTGAGCTTCTCTGTCTCAACAGAAGATTAGAGGGAATCAAAAGATTTATTGTCGTTTTAAAAGAACACTTCCCCCGGCTCAGTCAGAGAAGCCCACCTTCGCTGTGTTTGGCCTGCGACTCCGTGAGGAAGCGGCTGATCCTGTCTGAGGGGATGGCGAAAGAGATCCCTGCCGTCACCTTCAGGGTGTTGATGCCGATGACCTCACCGTCCTGGGAGAGAACGCACATCTGCACTTACGAACCGTCTCACATCAAATTAGGATGATCGTCCCGAACATTTGGTCTCCAATAAGGGCATGAGGCACGTGTTGGAAATTTTAGAAGGACTGGGAAAATTGGGACAGAATCTCTCTTTCTAAAGATTTCTACTTGAGGGCTTAAGCTGATGACATCACTAAAACTAAACCCTGTTCCAAAAGACTTGGGATTTGGTATAAAATGTAAACTAAAACTGAGCTCAGCGATCTGCAAATTTGATAATCGTACATTTTATTCACAGTAAAACGTTGTATATGTTGAAAGTAAGAAATTGTACCATTCTTTCTGGGAGGGGATTATCTATCAATACAAAGTGAGTAATGGATGCTGGCACCGCAGTAGAAACAGTTCTGATTCTGTTCTGGACATCACTGCATGGGCTGAGGAACACGTTGCAAACAGTTTGCCATGTCATCCACAAATGCTGGTTAAAGCTCCATCACACAAAGAAGAAGCCACATGTGAACGCTATCCAGAAAGGCGGCCATTTTCTCTGAGCCAAGGCAAAGTAGAGAACTGCTTTGTGGTCAAATGTACGGTGGCCGTGAGGTGTAAATGAACAAGATTTGAAAAACGGAATTACATTAAGCCAAACAAGAGGTGGCCGAAGTGGAAGTGACCGAAGTGGAAGTGGCTGAAGCTGAAGTGGACAGAATCACATTTGAAAAAAAATGGAATTACATTTGAAAAAAAAAAAAAACAACAACAAAAAACAGAATTCCATTAAGCCAAAGAGGAAGTGGCCAAAGCGGAAGTGGACGGAATCACATTTGGAAAAAATGGAATTACATTTGGAAAAATCAGAATTGCATTAAGCCAAAGAGGTAATGGCCGAAGCGGAAGTGGCTAAAGCGGAAGTGGACGGAATCACATTTGGAAAAAAAAACAAAAAACAAAACGGAATTACATTAAGCCAAAGCGGGAGTTGCCGAAGTGGAAGTGGCCGAAGTGGAAGTGGCGGAAGTGGATGGAATTACATTAAAAAAAAATGCAATTACATTAAGCTAAACCGTAAATGGTATGGTTTGCTTTTAGTGTATTTTTTATTTTTATTTTAATAAGTCATTTATTATGTTTATTTATTACTTTCTTTTTCAAACGTAATGCTTTTTTTCCCCCCCAAAATGTGATTCTGGCCATTTCCGCTTTGGCTTAATGTAATTCTGTTTTTCCAAATGTTGTTCATTTACACCTCACGGCCACCGTACAAATGACTTAAAATGTGAAAACCTTTTTAGAAACCATGGTCACCATGTGGCCTGTTTACAGCACACAGTTCAAACTTGCCTCTCTAATGTTATGGGGGTGCATTGGTGCATCTTGCACATCTATAAAGGCACCATCAATGCAAAACGGTGCATCCAGGTTTTAAAACATTCAGCAACTCATCCAGCACAGAATCGTTGGAGGTGTGTTGCTGTCATAAACTTTAAAAATGATCTTTTTAATGAGTTCATCTTCTTAGTTTCAACCCTTGATGTGCTTACTATGTTTCACTGTGAATAAAATACAGGTGAATGAGATTTTTAAATGATTGCATTCTGTTTTTAGTTCTGTTTTACACAAGACTCTGCAGAATTTGGGTTGTATTGATGGACAAAACTAAAAAAGGACAAAACTTACCAAGTTCACGAGAGGTCCTCCAGAATTACCGTACTATGTGCAAGCAAGAAACACAAATCACAAGACTGAACATCGATGACTGCATGGTGAAATAAAAAGCACGATCTGGTGTTTGTGTTCACGTTGATAATGGCGTCGGTCTGGACGTAGTCCATGTCAGAGTCCCTGATGCCCAGCTCTTTGCCGTCTCTCTGGGCGGTGCTGACGATGCCGGTCGTCACGGTGTTCTGCAGAGCGAACGGGCTGCC